TCAGATGGTCTAGTTTAAATCCATGTTTCGATCACAGAAAGAGGAATGGAGGGAGGACAGAAGGAAATTATTAGATGTTATCTCATTACACTGTTTTGTTACAGAGGGAAAGTCAAACCTTAACTCCAAAGTACATAAGGGCTAAAAGGGTGATTCTCAGAAATCAAGGCTGCAAGACAATTGTTCCCTACATCACATGGACTAGTTGATTTGATCCTTTTAATATGGTTTGGGCTCATCAAATTAGTAGTGTCCCCTCTGAGTAACTTAAAACAACAGAACAAAGAAAGTCACAGACAGAGAAACATTTCAGTGATTAGATGGAGCTGACAGGCTGCCTAAAGCAAAATTCAAGCATTGATTCTACCAGAGGGCCTTTTGTAAGTCCTTCGGAGGTCAATGGTCCCTTTGATTGCAAAGCATCAGGCTGACAGCAAGGTATACAAGTTTGGCCTCAACCAAGTGCAGAAGAAGGGTGGGCATCAGTCAGAAAACAGGCAGCAGAAAACTCAAAAAACAGTCAGTATCCAAATCACAGAGAGGATTTGCAGCTAATTCTCTTTAAAGCCTGCCAAGTCATTTGCATTACAGTGTTGTCATCTAAAGATACAATCATCGTAAGGAACAAAAGAATAGTCTAAGATGAAGTGTTTTTCTAGGAAGTCTCTCCATGCTCACAGTCCAGACATCCACATCCGACATTGATCTTATTCTTCTTTCAGGAAATGAGTAAAAAATTTTGTTAATGACCCAAATATGCCTGAAGTTAAAGAAAAGGCTAATGACAAATTAAATGCATCACATGGAGCAGGTCCAGTAAACAAAACCCACCAGGTTTCTACAGTTTCTTTCTTTCCAGAGTATTCAAAGAATTCAAGAATGCAATGAGATTAAAAATACAGAGGAATAGCAAAATATATGAATTGCAGTCATTTCCATGCAGCATACAGTTCTGCCATAGAAATTCAGGCAGGAACTCTACTCTGCATTGCTATAAGGGACAATGTGACAGCTACTGATGAAAACATAAAAGACCAAGACATTCTTTACCTAACTAATAAGTTTTTTTCCTTAATTAATTGACAATAAGAGTAGAATATAGTAGAATAGAACATAGAATATTTCACTTGGAAGGGACCTAGAACGATCATCTAGTCCAAGTTCCTGACCACTTCAGGGCTGACCAAAAGTTAAAGCATGTTATTAAGGGCTTTGTTCAAACACCTCTTAATCACTGACAGGTACGGGGCATTGACCACCTCTCTAGGAAGCCTGTTCTGGTGTTTGACCACTCTCTCTGTAAAGAAATGTTTCCTAATATCCAGTCTAAACCTACCCTGAGGCAGCTTTGAACCATTCCCATACATCCTTGTCACTGGATACCAGGGTGAAGAGATCAGCACCTCCCTCTACACTTCCCCACCCCAGAAAGGTGTAGAGACCAATGAGGTTGCCCCTCAGCCTCCTTTTCTCCAAACTAGACTAGCCTAAGGTCCTTAGCTGCTCCTCATAAGACACACCTTCAAGCCCTTTCACCACCTTTGTTGTCTTCCTCTGGACATATTCAAAGACCTTCACATCCTTCTTAAATGGTGGGGCCCAGAACTGCACACAGTACTCAAGGTGAGGCTGCATCAATGTCAAATACAGTGAGATAATTGCCCCTTTTGACTGGCTGGTTATGCTGTGTTTGATGCACCCCAGGATGCGGTTTGCCCTCTTGGCTGCCAGGGCACACTGCTGACTCATATTGAGCCAGAATCTGGCAGAATCTGGCATTAGTTCTTCTTGAATTTCATCCCATTAATCATCAACCAATGCTCTGACATCTAGATAGATATCGAGAGATATCTATAGATATCTACATAGATCCCTCTCCAAGACCTCTCGTCCCTTCAGAGAGTCAACAGCACCTCCCAGTTTAGTCAGCAAAATTGCTAATGGTGCGTTCAACTCCTGCATACAGATCATTGATAGAAATATTGAACAGAACTGGCCATAGGATTGAGCCCTGAGGAGCACCGCTGGTGACTGGTCACCAGCCAGATGTAGCTCCGTTCACTACAACCCTTTAAGCCCTGCTGTTCGGCCAGTTCTTCACTCAGCACACCATGTACCTGCTCATCTCACATTTGCATAACTTGTCCTGAAGGATTCTGTGAGGGACAGTATCAAAAGCCTTACTAAAATCCAGAAAAACTACATCCACCATCTTCCCTTCATCCACTAGACAGGTGACCTTTATCATAGAAGGATATCAGATTAATAATGAAGCAGGTGCCATCTTTTGTTCTGGAAATAGAAACAAGCAGAAGATGCTCACAAAGGACTGAAATATATTTCCAAGCAGAATGTCCTACCCTAATAAAAAAATTCCATGGAGGTGTTAGTAACCACAGAGAACTAGAACAGTTGTTTTATGTGTTATCAGGCCAGGCCAGGAATAATTGGCTAAAATACTACAGTTTGCCTATACAGAAGATCAAAGCAGAGAGCACTTTCTGGCCTTCATCTGAAAGAAGGTACCTGCAGCATCCCACTGCGCTCTGTCATAACGCTAGTCTATATTTTGATAGTGGTCCAAAATGAAGAGTAAACCTGAGAAGACCCCCAGGATGATACAACTTGCTCTTCAATTCAAGAACAAACTAAGCTCCTTCCTAAATTGTGAAATCCACGGCACTTGCACTATCCCCACAGATGCGGGTGACACTTATTGATGAAGAAATGTAATTTTACAGTTCTATATAATAAAGTAATAAAGTAATCCTCTTTTTTTAAACAACCAAACAATCCTCACTCCAAAATTCCTGTTGTCTGTGCTGCTTTATTAAAGTGTAAGTGTCAAAAAAGTGACAACATAATGTGTTGGGCTCATGAGAATTAATTGGAACAGAGTATCAGATTTTGAAGGTTCTATTTTATTATAAATCTTAGATTTCCCCAGTGAATTATCTGACCATACATGCAATGAATCTATTTCTTGAATTAAAAACATGTCTATCCAAATGTCCCAGGACAAATCCAATATCTATCATTAGCAATAAATAGTATTTAATAAATGTGCACGAACTCCATGTCTGGAAATCTATCAAAATGTCTCTCTAGACTCTTTCCTTCTAGCCAAGTAGCCATTTCTGTGACTCTGGTCTTACACTTACAGTCATAAGACCTAGCACATAATTGTTGCTGCAGTTTCTAAGTCATTACATAACACTTGTGTCTTAACAAGCTTGACCTTGGTTCCTATGTCAGTAAACTATAAAATTGTTGTTCAAGTCAGTGAGAATGGATTTATACCATTTGCTATTTGTAGTACTATAGTTTGTAATACTATTTTTATTGTTGTGCTTGAATTTAGCTTGTCATGCATTGTTCAGCCCAGACTCACCCCATTAACTTCAGAAACTTAAATGAGGTGCCAAAACTGGGAACAAAGTGCCATAACCTTCCTAAATACGTCAACAGAGGGAAACAGGCATCTCTATCTATAAAAGATCTAACCTACCTTCTGAACAAAACTCTCCCTAAACTGGGAAAGGGAGAGCTTTTTAGGGAGTTTATTAGTTTGCAGCAATGCTTGTATTGTTTCTCTGCTGAAAGGCAGGTAGCAAATTTTGAACAAAATTGTTAAGCAGACTGTTTGCTAGAAAAGTCAACATCAGACTTGCATATGCCTGTAAAGGTATATAGAAATTTCTCTGTTAGGGAAATAGAAAAGTCTTCCTACTCTTACTTTGCACCAAATTTATCAAATATCTAAATTACAGATCATTATATTTCTAAGGGTATATCTAGTAAAAAACCAAGCATAACAGCCAGTAAGAAGTAATAACTGCAGTCCATTTACTATCAGGTTAGCAGGAAATAAATGGTGTCTTACTATTGTTCTCTTGCTATAGAGTTTATTGGTGCATTTATGCAGCTTTATTTCATTTGCACATCTGTGAAGAGCACTGCTGTATAAAATGTAAATGGGCTGTATATGGAATTTAAAACTTTTCAAAGATAAAATGTCTCAACAGCCTTTTCATCAGAATTACAAGAAAACTTTGAAGTCCGTGTTTGTTTTTAAATCAAAACACCGCTATTTTTATTCAAGCGGAGCCAGCAGGAACAGTTCAGCTGCACTAGCATGTCAGTTTATTCAAAGAGGGTATTTACTAATTCACTGATATCCCATTGCCTCAACAAAGAAAAAGATAGTCCTACACACTGCCCTCCACTCCTCTTTGTTTATGCCTCTTCCAACTGCTGCTCTGGGGGCAGAGCTCTGCATTTGGACAAGCTCCCTTTCCATATATCACATGCTGTAGACGTGGGAATACAGTGAAAACGGAGCTTTGAGTACCTCCTCCTGCCTTCACCTTTACCTCCTGCATTTTATTGTCACTCCATCTGAAAGTAATCAGGATCAGTAATGCCATCCTTGATCATAACACTTCATAACTGGCATTATTCTATCAGGAGATGGGTGTTCAGCTGGGATGGTCATTGCACTCCTGGAAGATGGCTTTCAAGGTAGGCCTCCCACCATGATATTGGAGAAGATACAAGACCTGGACTATTCTCATATCCCCTTCTAGGCTGGATCCTCCATCTTCACACCAAACACCCTCAGCTGTCCCAGATGTTTTAGACACTGTTTTCTGTTTGTAGGTTGGTGTGTCCCTGACATTCCAATCAAGATGAAGACCTTGTGAAGAAAAGCCACTGTACAGGCAAATCTGAAATGAGCTCACAGTCTACATCAGCCAGAGCCAGATGGGGAAAGATGGAGGCAAGAGAGAAAGAACAAGGTAGGAAAAATAACTTCAGCAGAGAAGCAGGAGCTCAGACGGCTCAAATTCTAGCAAAACAGAAGTGGCACGTGTCCCTTCACAAACAAAATGATGGGTAAGTAACTGGAACTACAAGTACAGTCTGTGACATTCTGTTCTCACTCAAGTCAAGTCTCCACCATAACAGGATTTTACCCATTGAACATTTATATTTGTTACCTTCTCATAAGCTTTTCTTTTTGTTTCAGAGTCCATCCAGTCATTTTCCTTTTCCAACATGTCAATAAAAGCCCAGCGAATTCCTTCAATCAACTCCTCCATCTGCAAAACATGTAGCAAACCCCTCCCCAGTAAAATATGTCATGGCAGAATCATTATAAGAAAAGACTTGGTGCATGCAGGAATGATAGATTTGGTTAGACCATGAATGATTCCAAATCAGACAGTATCTGCTGTTCTTTCTTGAAGGCTGATTTCTTCTTTCTCCAATCCTCAGACGCTTCTTCTGAAAATAAGTTTCTTGCCATTTTCTTTTCCTTCAGGTGTACCACACAACCTGTGCATTGCTGACCCTTTCATGTCACAATTGTGAGAATGTCTGTCTTGAAATCATAGAAAATACTGGGAGATTTACAGTGATCTGGGGAGATTTCTGACACTTTGGTTCTAGATCACTAGACCACGCAGAAGGAGCCGGCTGCAAGGCATTTGCACAAATAAAGCCTTCTCTGCAGAGAGAGCATCTGTAGCCTTGTTTGGTTTATGTCAGACTGAGACACGCCTTATTAATACTTTCAAAGGACTGAATTTGGACTGACAGTCTCATGATCCAAATACAAAGCAGTATCCAAATATTTAGTCTGTATTTAGCTGTATTTGTGAAGTACTCCTACCCTTTACTTACTGCAGGGATAGAGGCCATGGCTTACAACACTGAGGAGCCTTAACTGCTTCTGTGGTCTTGAACCATCAGTGACAGCTTGCATCTGTGCAAAGCTAGGAAAACCCACAACCATTTTAGCTTGGCTGCTTCTTCAGACACTTATACAAAGCCACAAGCATATCACAAGCAAGTAAAAAAATATAATAATAGGAGTGCTTAGTGAGTATGGACACTAAGAAAACCCTGAAATGACAGAAAACAAGAAATCTAATGTCTAAGAGATGCATTATATTGGTCTAAAGAGCAAAAATGTCCTCTTGCCTGTGCATCCCTCTGGCAGCACAGACCAAAAAGGTCTAAGCGATCAGCTGCTTCTATTTATATCAACAGATGAACCTCATGACAGATAGCCACTGAGAATACTGTGAGAGTGAGGCAATTCAGGGGATCCAGGTGTTGCTTGAGTCCTTTAGCACAGACCAAACTAGAGCTGAGATAGCACAAGACATGACAGACAATCATTACATGAAAACTTATTGGATCTTTGTGTTATCAGTTATGTTACATTTAAAAATAATGAAAATGTCAAGTACCAGAGATTTATATAATTTTATTCTATAGATTTCATAGCTCTGAAATGTCTTTAAAAGTGGGGACTAAACCCTGGAAAGTAATGTTACCTTTAGCTAAATTGTCATTTATGTATCAGATATATATTTTAATCTGGAACTGTTCTTTATTTGCAGTGGAGGCAGACAAAACATAGCAAAGCTCCTTTGATTATTCATTTTTTCCTACCCTTTTCAAAAAACATTTTCTTATTTTTAGAGACAATATGGGACAACAAGAACAGGTCTAGCATTAAATATGACTAAACAGTCCATATTCACAGTAAACTGCATCCCAGGGAACAGGATAACTTAAAGATATTGATGACAGAGCACTGACTCAATTAACTTAGTGCACTAATGAGGTGAACTCCCTGTATTTGGAGGTTACAAGTTCAAATTCAAGCTCTGCAGCTGGACCCTGGTGTATACTTAGGCTTTATGCACCAGCTGTAGCTGCAGGGGGCAGGGGGAGAAACCTATTCCTGCTATCAAAGTTATTACCGAAACTGCTCAGGCATAGCTGTAAGAAACACTGCAGGCACTCTGGGTTAGAAACAGTGCTATATTTAGACACAAATAATGTCTGTCTTGATAAAAGGAGAGAAGCATCTAAGGTATGAAACATCAGTGACAAAACATGGGGGGAAAAGAATCCATATTATCCATAACTCAGGATTTGCTTATCATAGACAGATATATGCCATGAGCCAGGGAAAAAAAAAATCTGTACAAATAAGAGTGCTTTTCTCAAGTGCTTTCTTACTGCTTAAGAAAGAGAAACAGAACTGAAAACCAGCAAAATGAAAATGGCAACACCACAAATTATTAACTTGAAAAGCACACTTCTAAGTGGACTGCAACTAATTTCACCTGCATTTAATTTTCATCTCCATGGGCAGTTCACTATAAGTCTGAATCCTGTGATGTGCAGTATAAATTTTATATGCGTTTCTTACTATGGATGCTACTGTGAATTCAGATAGGTTTTTAAAGATTTGGTCTGAAAGGAATTTGCATGCCAAGAAATATTTTAATTAGGTCACATTTCAACAGAAAACCATGCTCTACTCTATCAGCTTCTCATAATTTTCCCTTAGATACACAAACATGAAAAAACTTTCATCCCCTCCATAAAGTGTACATTTCTTATAGTCCTTCTCTTCCTGCTTATCTTGCACAGAGATCATACTGTTTAATATCCCAGAAATATTTTTGCCACTAAATTGCCAAATAGCACATTAAATACTTGATCAAGGATCAGGGGACTGAAAAGCTGGATCTCAGAGAGTAAACTCCAGCTGAAGGCAAGTAGCAAAAAAAAAAAAAAAAAAGCAGAACCTGAGAGGGAAATACTTGTCATAAAGATTTGGACAAGACAAATCAGAGTGTTGGTCTGTCTAAAATTGAGTCCTTCCCTGAGAAAACAGTCAAACTAGATAAAGTCAAACACGCAAACTAGATGAAGTGAAAGAAAGGCTACTGAGCCAGGGCTGTACAGGACTATCACAAAGCTGTCGCTCCTAGTGCAGGATGCTCTTTCACGTGTTTCCTAAATGGTTGTGCCTCTCTTGCACCAAGAGCTGAGTTCAATGACTAAATTATTTAATTTTAAACTAATAACTGTTGGAAAAATCAATGCCTGGAAAAGCAGATATTGGAAAACTCTATGAGAAAAATATGAACTGAAAATAAGTCATAAATTATTGTGAAGAGTAATTAATCATTTGAATATGTTATTATGGGAAGTGATAATGTAGTTATGTTTGAAGTTTTAAAATGAAGATGAACGTCCAGCTAAAAGCTATTCTCTGGACTCAGCAGTGTGGAAGAATACTTTCCTTCACTGTTGAGCAAAAAAAAATCCAAATCACAAATATAAACTCTCAGTATATGGCTCTAAGTTTCCCTTAATTTGGGCCAGACATCAGTTACACTTATTGCTTAGACTACAGGTGTAGAACAGTCAGCTTTAGAAGGGTAGTCCTGAAGCAGAGAAGTCTTGGCTAATCTTTAACTAGTCAGTAAAAACTTTATTATAAAGAGTTACACTAGCTCTACTAAACCATTTCTCACCAATACCCCCTGCCCCACCCTGTTGTTCCTGCACAGCCTGGCTGCCATTAGTTAAGCAAATTAATGCTGCTCAGCCTGTTTTTGATCTGGCTACATATTTGTCTGAAGGGCTGCATATAGAAAGAATGGGCAGTGCCCAGATGGACAGAAAGGTGACATTTCTTTCAATTTGTTCTGTTTTATCCTTGCCTTTTTTTTTTTTTTTATTCAATTAAAGCATTTTTAAAAATCTTGTCTCTTTTTAAACTTCAACCTAACATCAGAGACAATTTGTGAGGAGGAAGCCATTAATTAAAAGTTTCTAGACAGAGATCTCAAAAGACTCACCATCTCTTTCTTGTCTTCTTGAAAATGAGTGTTCACAAACATCTTGCCCACAGCGTAAGGGAGCGCGCTTTCAACAAGGTCCACACATTTTTCCCACTGGGGCAGCAAAGTTGTGGTTCCATGGATGACCTGTGGGCAGGTGCATGTAGCAGGTCATAACATCATACTGTTTAAGGAGAACAAGTATGCATCCATGTACAGTATAGTCTAAAGCATATTTGTCAAAGAGCTACCAAAAGGAAACAATAACAATACTTTACAGTTACTTCTATTTTCAAGTGCTATGACAAATAGCACTTTTGAACACTTTTGAACCCCACAAAATAGCTGTAAGATTTTAAACTTAGAAACAGTACAATGGCAATGACTTAGAGAGGTTAGGCTTTGGTAGCCTTTCTGTATTAAGTGGAGAGACACTTTCCTCTAGAAAATCTCTGCTCTATCTCCTGAAAAAGTTTCTCTCTCTCCACCGACTAGGTGAGAAGCCTAGGGAGATCATCCTCATGAAAATGACATCAGTCCTTATAAAACACCTCCTACAGAGCCCTCCACTGCCATGCAGTTATCTGTGCTAACTAACGAGTCTAACTTTGTTAGGTACATGTCCACACCTTTTTGCCATTTACCTGTCTAGCTACTCTTACCACAGCCTATGTAAAATAAATAGTTGCTTTCAGTCCCTTTCCCAAACAGAGTATTTTCAAGAGAAAACAGGTTTGAATCATCAAGAACACTAAATACATGTTTGTCCCCCAAAAATCTTGTTCCATGTTGTGGTAGAAAGATGTTGGTAGAATAGCTTGTGTATTTTATTAAAGGATTGGTGGTTAAATACACAGTTCCAGGCTTTGGTGATGTCCCTGCACCAATATACATGAGTTTCAAAAGATAAATAATCAAGAATGGTCAACACACTAATGAACAAGGCAAAACAGAGCTCAAGCACATTGCTGCCTTGGTTTTTGTTTCCTATGGGAAGAATGTTTTTACCGTGGTCACTTACCCAGTTAACATTACATTTTCTCATCAAAGTAGAAGTTAATTTAAAATTTAAAAAGTACACACAAAAACCCACAAGATGGGTCCACGCAAGCAATGGCAGTCCTGATTTAAGAAACATTTGTTGTTTTCAAGGTTCAAAGAGTTCCTTTTCCACTTAAGGAACTTCTTAAGCTTTTCCACAGAGAATAAGCAAAATCCCAGTCCAGTAGTTAACACCTGTCAGCTGTGTAAAAGCAGAGTACAGTCAACACCAGACCAGGTCAGGCAGGATAGGATTTTGGCCTCTCGCAGATTATACAAGCCTCTTAAGCACTGATCTAGCAGTTTCTGAGCCTCTTCTTTTTCCCAGTCTTCTCTTCCTTTGAGCCCAAGATTAAATTTCTAGCAAAGCTGAAGGGTTTGGATTTGTTGTTTTCCAAGAGGAAAAGATTTCACTGGAAAATTCCAGAGTAGCTTAACCCTCAGCTATTGAAGGTCAGATATTTTGGTAGTTCAAAGATTGATTTTCTCCATCATATTATCTGTAATTAAGCTTAATCAATGACTCATACTTAAATACACCAGTGAATTGCATTTTCAAACGCTTTTTATTAATACTGTATGTTCGCTAATAGGTTTTCAATGACAGAGAGAACACTGCTTCTATAAGAAAACCACATTAGGCAAACCAATACATAATAAGGTAATAGTTTCCTAAATAGAGCTGAATTTGAAAAAACCTCCTTCTTTTTCCAAATTATCCAACCCTCATATAACACAGCACTCAAAAAAGAAAAAAAAAAATAAAGAAGAGGAGGAGGAAAAAAAGAGAGAAGAAAATTTCTCTCCAGGGTCCAAGTAAAACCACAATGGTGCTTTTTCCTGATGCAGAGAGGAAGAATGGGAGTCATGGCATTAGTCATCAGAGCTTCAAATTCCTTCCGAAAGCTCTGACGACACATCAACCACAGAAAGAGTCAGGAGACAGAGCTGGCTTTTAGACTGTGACATATGATTATTACAACATAATAATTATCATTATTTTGAGGGAGGCTTAACTGTAAGGAGGACAGAAAGGCAGCACAGGCTGTGAGACCAATAAAAATAGAGCTGAGAGGAATAGATTATATCTCACATCTGGTTTACTGATATTTATGTTACAACAGCCAACTAGAACTCCCTCAAAATGGTCCTCCTAATATTAATGTACCACTCTAAAATAGAGTACTGCAGGTAGTAACAGTGACTATAAACAGCAGGTTTCAAGCCCTCCCAGTCCATTCAGAGCTCCACATCACAATTAACTGATCTCTTCCACAGGTGCCACTGCATGTTTGCTAGGACTCAAAGCACCACTGCAGAGGAGCTGCTGATAGTTGCTGATGTGGTAATCAAAGCACTTTCTCTAGAGTCAGCAGGTTTGTCCTATTTCTCAACCTGAAGTTTTTTTAAGTTTCATCATGTCTTCTTCCCTCTCTTTGCAAAGAGTTTAAGTGTCTTGATGCCAAGATTTCTACATGTAAGATGTAAAAGCCACCAATAGAAAACAAGAACATGGTGAAAAAAATACTATGCTTGTGATGGGTGAGGCTGGCTGACTGACTGACTGAATGAATAAAAGATATCCTTTGTTTTAAGGGTCACTGATCTGTCTCATGGTCATGACTTTTTACTAGTCTTTCAATGTTTTCTTCACGTACCTGGCAAGAGGTTGGTGGGTCCTTTTTATGATCCCAAAGGACCTGTGTGCCTTTAGTCCTCCAGCCTCTGACTAGACAAATCTGTTCAACAAAGCCTTTGCCTTGGACTCCATTTCTCATGTCCTTTCTGCTGACCTGTGAAATCTGCTCCCCTGAGCCGTTTACTGTGCTTAACTTTAGCTATTAACTATTAGCTATTGCTGTTTACTGCACTTAACTAACTCTCCATCTCCAGGTCCCAGAGGCAGATAATGCGAACGAGCTGCTGACTCACTGCCCTTACTGTGCTGTTCTTAAGTTTTCACAACCACTTACATGAAACCCTTGATGACCTTGTTAATAAGCATTGAATCAGCTTGAATTAGGTTTCTCCCTAAGCTTCTGGAGAAAGTACCCAGAGAAGTGACAGCAGCTAGTTACCATATCAAAATGCACAGTATCCAAAGCCTAAAGTTTCCTTCCAGGAATTTTTCTGTCCATAATATAACCTGATATAACTCAGTATTATGCTGCAGACTGGCTGATAGCCAGCATCAATCTATTTTACCTGGCTAGCACGGAATGTCCCAGAAGGGGACACACTTACAAACTTGTTGCTGGGGTTCTGACAGCCAGTTTCTCACATTTTTGCATGAAGAAAATGGCATCTTTAACAAGACTGATTTTAATATGATTTCAGAAGTATAAGAGACTGCCTTTCCTGTGTAGTTTCCATCAAGCTATTGGAGTTTATTTTTACGTATGTGATCAACTCAGAACTATTCCAGTACTACTCAGGGTGCTTCAACTAGCCACCTGCATGCCTCACGAGGGAGGACAGAGCACCCACACCTCCTGTACCATATCACTGGCAACATCATGACAGCCTCCTGCTGTCGTGATGTCACCAAGCAGCTAATTTTCATAATGACAAAGAAAAAGTTCACCATCTGAAGTGGCTTGGAAACAAGACAAAGCACCTTTCAGTTTCAGTTTCATCCTTGGTTTGCTCAAAGACGCCTCACACTGTCCACAGGATTATTAGGGTGGCTTTCTGTTCAGGGTTCACTTAATCAAATACATGTGTTTTACATAAATGCCCATATTACTTAATAGATAATTAGCTCTGCTCTAACAGCTTTGGGTAGTGACTAATGTCTTCTGGGGCTTCTGCAACCCCAAGCTGAAGGCACCTGATTGGCTTCTCTGTGGAAATGGCTGGTGTATGGATGTGTCAAAACTCATGTAAAACTGGCACTAGGGCATGGAGACAGGTTTGAACAAGCTTAGAAAACCTGAAATCTTACACTTTTGTTTTATCAGAGCTATATTAGAATCATAGAATCGTTTAGGTTGGAAAAGACCTTTAACATCATCGAGTCCAACAGTTAACCTAACACTGCCAAGTCCACCACTAAACCATGGCCCTAAGCACCACACCTACATGTCTTTTAAATATCTGCACAAGATGGTGACTCAACCACTTCTCTGGGCAGCCTGTTCCAATGCTTAACAACCCTTTCAGTGAAGATACTTTTCCTAATATCCAACCTAAATCTCCCCTGGTGCAACTTGAGGCTGTTTCCTCTTGTCCTATTGCTTGTTACCTGGGAGAAGAGACCTACACCCACCTCACTACAACCTCCTTTCAGGTAGTTGTAGAGAGCGATAAGGTGTTACCTCAGCCTCCTCTTCTCCAGGCTAAACAACCCCAGTTCCCTCAGCCGCTCCTCATAAGACTTGTTCTCCAGACCCTTCACCAGTTTCATTGCCCTTCTCTGGACACGCTCCAGCACCTCAACGTCTTTCTTGTAGTTGAGGGACCCAAAACTGAACTCAGTATTCGAGGTGCAGCCTCACCAAATGGCGAATACAGGGCAATGATCACCTCCCTGCTCTTGCTGGCCACACTATTCCTGACACAAGCCAGGATGCTGTTGGCCTTCTTGGCCACCTGGGCACACTGCTGGCTCATGTTCAGCCAGCTGTTGACCAACACCCCCAGGTCCTTTTCCTCCAGGCAGCTTTCCAGCCACTCTTCCCCAAGCCTGTAGCATTGCATGGGGTTGTTGTGACCCAGCTGCAGGACCCAGCACTTGGCCTTGTTGAACCTCATACAACTGGCCTTGGTGCATTGGTCCAGCCTGTCCAGATCCCTCTGTAGAGCCTTCCTGCCCTCAGGTAGATCAACACTCCTGCCCAATTTGGTGTCATCTGCAAACTTACTGAGGGTGCACTCGATCCCTTCATCCAGATCACTGATAAAGATATTAAACAGAACTGGCCCCAAAACTGAGCCCTGGGGAACACCACTTGTGACTGGCCACCAACTGGATTTAACTCCATTCACCACAACTCTTTGGACTCAGCCATCGAGCCAGCATTTAACCTAGCAAAGAGTATGCCCATCCAAGCCATGAACAGCCAGTTTCTCCAGGAGAATGCTGTGGGAAATGGTGTCAAAGGCTTTTTACTAAAGTCCAGGTAGACAACAACCACAGCCTTTTTCTCATCCACTAAGCAGGTCACTTTGTCATAGAAGGAGATCAGGTTAGTCAAGCAGGACGTGCCTTTCATAAACCCATGCTGACTGGGCCTGATGACCTGGTTGTCCTGTATGTGCCGTGTGATGGCACTGAAGATGATCTGCTCCACAACCTTCCCCGGCACCAACATCAGAGTGACACATGTGTAAACAGTAGTTTTTTTCAAAAGCTTAGATTTTGGCCAAACAGGTTTGGCCTGCAGGAATAGCACAGATCACAGCCCTGGCATGTAACTCAAAAGCTTTCCAGCTTTCAAGTTTCTGCATAAGAAAACTAAGGTTTTTAAAGGGGAGGTCTCAAAAACTCATTAATATATTCTAAAAGACATTTTTCCTTAGTGTCATATACCAAAATATGTATGTTTTAATTGTTTTAGAGGGAGTCTTCAACAAAAAAGTTTATTCAAGAAATTTATCCATCACAGAAAAAAATTTCATGTTTTGCAAAATATATGTAACTCTAAGGGAAACCAATAGTATCAACACTAGTACCATTGTAAATGCTATAAAAACTCTAACTTACCCGAGAAAATTCAAGCCACCGATACTGAAAACGTCTACTGAGGTTAAATAACCTTGAATAAACCATCCTCCACACCAGATAGTTGGCAAGAGTCCTGTTAAATCAGACATATTTTTATCAGACATCTGAATGCATGTGATATACCACAAAGCACTCACATAAATATCTCTACAAACATTTCAACTGAATGGTGGAAAATTCACCTTGAAAATTAATGAGTGATGACCAAATTGATAAATCACTATTACACAGAAGAATCTGTATGATTGCAGCCAGTTAATATGTAATTGCACCATGATAACTATCTTCCAGGGGATATTTATAATGAGTCCATCTCTTAGTATGTCATTTTTAGGTAATGCTTTTTTCAAAAGGCAGTTTTCATTTTCCATAGAAGTGGCAAGAACCGTGTCATAATAATAGTTGCATAAAAGTTCTATCCAGAGATAGAAAATAACTGTTTTTTCTTTTGTAAATCAAAGTGAATGTTATCTCCCCTCATTAGTAGGGCACATAAATTGTAACTATGAAACAGAATAGATAACAGTCCATCCCATATATACTATCATTATTTCATATTTGTATCTTTCATTAGAAGTTATCAATATGCTTTTAATCGTTCTTACTACCCACAGAGTTATTAAAGTATTACCACTCTTATTTTGCAGATAGATAATTGAAACACCAAAAAAGAGAAGTCTCAGTAAGAAGAATCTCGTAAGAACTGAGGCTGAGAGATCCAGGAAGAACTTGTTCAAAATTCCAAGGGGACCTGACATCCATGCCCCTTTTCTAAAACTTCAAGCACTTCACTGGAGGATTTATCTAGTCTAGATTGAGCTCTCTCCATGCTCAGCAGTGGCTGTACGAAGTAAAGGTGCATTGTTAAATACAAGATTCAACTTCAAGCAGTCTCAAAACAAGTCCAATAATGGCCTACACCCATTATTCTCATCTTACCTTATACATGACATATTTTTCAAGGATATTAATTGTTCTAAAGCTATAGATACCCAAATGTTGTTTGCTCCACACTAGGATATACATAAGATTTCGGGCAGGCCATAGACTTCTCCTTAGGGAGGAAAATTGCTCCTTTGCAACCGAAGATGCTGTTATGGACCGTCTGAACAACTCCCCCATCTCTAAAAATCCTATTTCTGCAATGTCCCATTGCCATAGGTGTAAAGCAGCGTAGCTGTTGCTACAGTGTCACTCCATTAGCTTCATTCATGGACACATCCCATACTGTCCCCTCCTCTGAATCATAAGAGGTTATAAACACACTTTGTGGGCATGTTGTCTTCACAGCAGCATTTTCCTGAGCCATAACTTGAGTTTTGCCTCTAACCAAGCTCCAGTCCACCCACACAAAGCCTCCAGCTCAAGATACATTACTGCTGGAAGCTTACACTCTTGGCCACTCAGCTGGGGAGGTCATAAAGAGGTGAGAATGGAGAGGTTTAAGGCAAGTTATAGCTACATATTGTCTATTAGTGACTGAGCAAATGATAACCCAGTAACTCCAGCAGCATGCACACACCCAAATGGGACACTACACCAAGAGCAGATGGGTGGCTGTGCATTCTCCGCGGGCTGGCTGAGACATGCACTGGGGAGCAGCCTGGTCAGGCACAGCAGTCAGTGGCCAGGGAAAGCAGGCACTCTGCAGTGGCCCTGGCTTTGGCCGTCCCTGCAGGCTGCTCCAGCTGAACCGAAGGTAGCACAAGTGTGCATACTCACGTGAACCTGCTCGGCAGTTGTGCATCCATGACAGCGTCGGCAAAGCCTGTTTTACTCATCAGCTAAGTCTGCATATGCTTATAGGTCAGAAATATGGTCAACTCATTTCACGCAGGAAAACCTGAGGGTGCAATCTCAAGCCAACTGTCACCTCAAAGGCCTGATAATCACTAGTCTTTGTGGCCAGTGGCAACTTCTACAGGGAAGTAGAGAATTGCTATGATTTATAAGTCTTGCCTTTTATGCTCCTCATCTCTCACACTGGGTATATTCCCTCTTTCAGTATACAGATATATCATACAAGTACACATAAATCCCCACAATTATTGTAAAACATATCTGAAAGAACTTTTTAGCATGAATAATGTACATTTATTGCACAGTACATGTTACAAAAGCCAAAACAGTTAGCTCTGCTTAGATGATTAAACCATTTTGAGATAATGCTTAGGGTCATTAAAAATTCACTCCAACCTATGAAATACCAGAAAGTATAGATTTTCCCCTTAACATGTTCCTGAAAATGTGGAATTTCCTCACTCAATGGCAATGGAAGCACCCTAAAAGTGCTCAGCTCTCATTGGTTTGTAAATGACTCAAACTCCACAAGCCTCACAACTATCTGCCTCAGGTATTTCAACAGAGCTGAATAGCATCCGTGCTCCTGCAGTAACTACTCTGTGGATCTAAAACAGTATTTATGCAAGTCCTACAGACTAAAAGGTTTAAAGATTTAATTTTGATCAAAAGTCTTAGGTAAAAAACCTCAGCTAAATAGATAGCTATCATAAACCAATTATGTGTTACAATTCAGTACCTAATTGCTAACAAAAAAAATCAATTCTCCCTTCTGTGTGTTTCTTGTTCTCGTCCAGCAGTGTTTGTCCTGGGGAACCTCTGTCAAACTGATAGTGAATGAAAGATTGAAATTTGTAAAGGATGTGTCTCAAAAAGGTGACTTATTAGGAGACACTAAATTGGGAATTCAAAAACTTTTGTATCAGGCATAAGTAATGAAGGCAACTGTCAGTTTCAGGAAATATCCCACAATTAATTGAGGTTTGTTTTAATTTGGGAAGGAAAAGAAGGCTGACACATCCTAAAACGAAGCCATTGGATGAGACTGTAATAATTCCTGATTGTAATCACTCTAGAATCCACTGATGCATACATGCATAAAACAACAGGAAGGTTTCACTTCAAAGCCCAGAGGTAGTTTGGGAGGAGAGGGGGGCAACAGGAGGGAAAGATTGAGGGTGTTTGTTGTTGTTTGTTTGAGGGGCTGTGTTCTTTGGTTTGTTTTGAAAACCAAAACAAAATCAGATTTCATCTAAATTTGTTTACTTATTTGTGGGATGATCATTTTACCTTTTTGGCTAACTATACAAACTTAAAATCAATTGGTCATCTTAATTTCGTTTAAAAACTGACACTTTTTTGGTTATGAAATGCCTCCAGTGCATATCTTGGGGTGGTTTTCATCCCGATTTCACAAGTAAGTTCACTGAGGCTCAGAGAAGTTAACCTCTTCACATGGAGCAAAATCCAACACACATATAAAACATACAAATCTTCTTTGCTGTTTTGATGAAACCAGAGCATTTGTTGTTGTAACCTTTCAGAAGAGTACAGTACATAGTCCCCTATTTTAACTTCAGAACAACTGTTACAGAAAGAAGTGTAGGCTTGCTCTTAACCAATATGACCTTTATTGTGATACACACTCCCAAAGGAAGTGGTAGAGAGCTTGTTTTCTGGGACAGTTAAAATTATACCAGTGCTTATGAATATCTACTAAGTAACTCTGTATCCTGTCTGGGAATAAAGTAGGCTGCTCATGTAAAATTCCATGAGTTTGTAATATTTTAATCAACAGACATGGTGGCAATTAAAGAGGATAGATTTAATATGATTAAGATGGAGAAATTAACTGGCATTTTAAGAAGAAGATCCCTTTCACAAATTTTGAGATCTATTTGAAAATTGTATTCAGAACTGAGTCATGAATCAAATTATAAGTACTGAAAAACTTCTGCCTCTATTGCTAGAGGCACTAATTCAAGTCAAATTATTGTAACTTCTCTCTCTAATTTTTCAGAGGCAGGCTAAGACCAGAAAGGAGATCTAGTGCCCCCACCCCTCTCTAGATAAAATTCCTCTTATGCTGCAGGAATTACAGAGTACTTCTCTATTAATTGTCCCATACTGCAAAGATGAGGTAAAGTAAGGCAAAGGAAACCAGTTATTCATTCTGACATCCATGAGAACAATAAAGCTGCTTCCTTCAACAGCTGCAAACATCTCCAACAAGAACACAATTTGCTGTATCCTATTTATGTCCACACATTAAGAACCAGCACACAGGTAACAAGGAAAGGATATAAGGTGCTCCTAGCTGGTGCCAGCACAGTCCCGTCTCCCCCCTCATATGGCACATCTGTATTGGAGCTCTGCCATTATCTCATTTATACCACAGCTACATCTATGTTTTCAAAATACACCTCTTCTTCCGGTAATAGATATCAACTCCATTAAAAACTAGTTGGTATACTAAAACCTGAAGGAATCCCTGAGGGCTTCCAACAAAGAAGGTGTGACTTACTTTGGCACTGAACATCTGACATGACTTAGGCTAGCTAGCCCAGGGCTGATGGAAACTCCTGCAGGCTAGTAACTCAGCTTCTTGGGCAGCTTGCTACAGAGCGCCATGCTCCTGGGCTGGACTCATAGCAGTGCCCTGGCTTGGGAATTTCAGACAGACTTCTGAACCACGCTGCTGCACATATTTCAAGCTCCACACAGTAACTTGATTATATGCAGCAGGGTTGTCAAGTAAATAACAGCCTTAGTATACTAAATTCACTCTACAACCTGCCAAAGTGCTATTTTCTAGTAACATTGCGACGTGAATCATTTCACAATTCAAGATTGTTCAGCAACAGTTTTTAATATGATGATGACAATGAGATTACCTAAAAGAAAATATCCTTGTTAAGCTTTCAGAATTCACCCTACAGGGAAATGTTAAGACTTCATTGTTAGGAGTTTGCATTAAGATGATCTCCTAATTTTCTCAGGCCAGATAACAAGGTTACTTCTGGAGCAGACTGTGACATTTTAAGTAATGAACATTATCATCTAATAGACAAACATGATCTTTGTTATCATGCAGTGACTGTTTGGATGGATTTTATGTACAATAATTTGAAGTCTGCTTGGGTTGAGTTTAGGACCATTTGCCATTTCTAACATTTTATGATGCAAATTTCTTAGGCTAAGACTGAGCAGAAAATGCCTAACCCATTATCTGCTATAAGATTTGCAGCATGAATATACCAGAAATCGGACACCGCTTTTGCCCATGCCCCTCACCGGTGGGGGTCAGGAAGCTGGTCTTGAGCTTTGCTGAAGATGGGCATTGCCATTCTTTCTGGTTATTACTCCAGCCTCCCTCTGCCATGACACATAGGCTGGCTTAACTCCTCTTGAATGCTCAGATTTTCCCTGAATAAGACCCTAGTGGAAAAAGTCTCCAGGTGTTTAATCTGTAGTTACAGAATATATTTGCATGTAAGTGTATTTGTACGCAGGGAATAACTAATTCTCTGTTGTCTTGTTACATGTGCATCCTCTAAGTCACCACTTTATCCCCGCTGACATAACTAACGTTGAGATACAAAGCATGGACAGCCCAAACCATTTAGAATACTGTCTTCAGTACATTAAGATTGGTGGCTCACTAACGATATTTGTCTGAATTTTATAACTAAAGGATGTTTGACGATCTGTGGCCAGATCAATCATTTTTATTTTTCTTATTGTTTGATCTGGGTGGTATTTCTACAGGTACTACGAAATAACGTAAGCATTCTGTCACTGAAGACATAGAGCAACAATAAAAGAATAATACTTCTGAATTAGTCTTTTTTTCTGAAATGTAAATTTAGTTGTGGCCATACTGTACAATCAGCAAAGAATGATTTTTGGAGACAACAGCCTAACAGTATTTTTTTAAAAGTTCAGCAACACGCCCAGAGAGCAAGTTACCACAGAAATCACTTAGATGTCATCAGTAACGATGTTTCAAAATAGGATGTCATCTTCACGTACACTTTTTCATCACAGTGCCCAAAGCTGTCTTGCTTCCCTGTGCAAAGCACATCTACTATGTTTAATCTGAGCTACCTGCATTTTTCAGGTGGAAATGATTTCACAAGATACAAGACCCTATACAAGTTAAGAGATGTTGAACGCATCTGGAAAGAGCAGCTTTACTGCAATCTGTGTTTTCTGTAAAAAAAGGTGTTGAAACTGCAAATTCTCCTGCTACACACAAGCTAATATCTATATCCTCATTCAGACAAAACCAAACAGACCTTTTGCCTAAAGACTTGATTCCAAGAAAATCTGAAACACCTGAAAAACCCAGGATTTGATATCGCCTCATAAGTGTGGGTGAAACCATTATAGGATCCTTACTTTTTCCTTTCATTTTCTAGTATCCTGAATAAATCTTTGAAGTACTGGGGAACACGGACAATCACATTTTCTGAAGGACCTATATCTTTGAGCTCAGGATAGAGTCTGGTGTCAATCACCTTCTTGATGTATCCCAGCCAGTCAAACTGCAATGACAAAGAGAAGGCTGGTTAAAGCAGATTATGAAGAGAGATGATGTATTAACTAAGTTGCACCTTTGAGACTAATGGTTTCAAAGCTTTATGATTAAAAATTTAGTAACTATTGCACTTTGTCATTACACATGTTTTCAAACCTCAGTAAAGTCGTAATAGTATTTAAAGGAACATATATTGTAATTGAGTACACACATTCCTAATGATATTTCTTTAACATGCTGCTCTGTGCACTAAAGGCAACTATATAGGTCAGACATTAAAGAATAGTTTTGCCGTTACTCCAACCAACCTGTGGAATCATGGCACTGAGCTCCGATATGTTCATTTTATTGTACATCACCTCACTTGTTCGATTTTCATACGGAATCATGATCTGGGGGGGGGGAAAAAAAAAAAAAAA